GCAGGCTATAGCTACCAGAGCAAAAAAACCCAACTAATCAAAGAGCGTACTTTACTCTACAATGAGCTTAACAACAAAAAGGATAGAGTCTAAAAAAAACAAAAAACATTTTAAAGTAAATAAAACATTTTTTATAGCTGCTTGTTTTGTATTTTTAGATATTTTTATGTTAAAAGACATTTTTGGAAATTAACAATTTTAGCTTTTTTTTTCTAAAGCCTTTGGTGTAATGCCATGAAAATGTGGTACATTTAATCCATTTTTTTTTTACCTGAAAACTCCAGTTTAGACCAACACTGTAAACTTGTACACAAGATTCAGGTAGTGGAAATCTTTGAGGCCACCGGTAGGGGACTACAGTCACTTCGACAGTGACCCACAATTGCACACGTCAGCTTTACATCATTTATTCATGGTGACAGAAGATACTTTGCCTCATCCCCAGCAATTAGGAAATCAATGAAAACGAACCCTGCTTTAAAACCATCAATTCTAAGAGGGGGATGAAACAGTGTTGTTCTTCAACGCATCACGACTGCAAACTCAGAAAATGGCTCAGCTATCGGCAGTATTGTCTGCGCCGCTGCATCGAAGGGAGCTCAGCTGTGAACTTATAAAGCAGGTTTTTTATCAAATGACTGTTTTTAAAATGAAGGTAGTGCATATTCTGCTCAGGGAGGACAAAAAAAAGGGCATCTGTTATGAGAGAGGGAAAAAAAGAGCACTTAATGAGGCCACTTTCTTTTTGACAGGAGATTGTGTTTGCATTATGATGTTTTTTGTCTGTGGAGGAGAGAGCTGAGCAGAAGCCATCTGAGTGAGATTATCAAAGACGAAGACGGGTCAGTGCAGGGCTCGTACCGACTAATACCTCTTTTGTTAGGGTTTGAAAGGTTGGCATACGGATATAAAGCCGCGCTTTGAAATCATTGTCAGTTTTACAATAAATTAGGAAAAGCTGCATGATCTAATGCATTTACCTCAAACATCTATTTTATCCAGAGAATAGAACCATCTAAATGTAGCTGTAAATGTGTCAAACAGTCACAAAGATATATTTTTTTCTGTCATAACATTATTTTTTTTCCGGTTTTCTTTGCAGATAAAACATCTTAAAAGATTTTCAAACACAATGCTTTTTCCCAGTATCATCTTTTTTCCTTATTCTTTCTGCATCCTTCCCCTTTTAAAGGAAATAGAATGACCACAGCTAGATGAGAAAATATGGCTCTTAGTTGGCTGCACATGTTTCTCTAAAATTAAAAGACTTCTTCCTTTAAACACAAAACAGGCAGCAGGAGGTAAGATTATTATTTTCCAAATATATAAATGTACAAATCCTTGCCAGAATTGACAGCTATGTTTTGGATGCTCAAGCCGCTGCTACATAAACAGCGATATTTACAAGTTGGCCATGTTAATCCTTTCTAACATTTAAACAAACAGTAAATCAGCGCCGGACTTATACCAGACTGAGTCCTACTTTGGCTGATGGTAGTGGATATGACACTTTGGTTTACAGATTACAATATTCATTGTTTGTTTACTAAAGAGACATTACCAGTTTTTTATAGTTTTAAGTTGTGGATGGACATCTAGCTAAGTCTGACATTATTTAATTCCTATTTAAGCAACATTTTGCCCCTTTTATTTGCAGCATTCTAAGCATGAATCACATCCATAACCTTGATAATATCACCCACAGAGTGATGAGAATGAAAATTTACATTAAATTGCTACACTTAAGCAACCCCTGGGGGTAAAGTGTCATCTTGCAAAACTAAAAAGAAATGAAAGGAGAGCATGTATAGACAGCTTGCAGCATTTATGTACAGTATCTGGGAGAAAAAGGTGTGTTTTTGTGTGCGTGGATGAGGGGGGTACATGAGCCTGCAGACACCTGCTACGTTCTGCAGTGATGGCTCCCAGCGGGATGCAGGCTCAGCTGCTGATCACTAGGCCCTCCCTGCAGCACTGGTGGCCAACACACTCACACGCTTACATCTAGAAAATGTGACCCAGAGTGTCCGTGTATTTCCTGTGGCTGACACACCACATGTGCTCACATCAGCCATAAACATGACACGATGCACTCACACAGTCTGTACGGCCCCAGTTCATGTGATGCTGAATGTGAACTCAAATGTGAAGCGGGTTGGTCATAACTCGCTCTACTGTAGTGGGAGATATGCTATAGATGTGATATGGTGCGTCTTTTTTTGTCCTTTAGAAACCCTATAGCTGTAAGGCTTTGTGCTGGACGGAGAACTGTGTTAAGGGAGGATATAATGTCTGACAGAATACTGCAAAAAAAAAAAAAAGAAGATTCTGCATATTTACTACAACTTTTCAGCTTTTAAATTTTCCCCCAATCACCTAATCTTTCACAACATCATACAAAAGCCACGTTTGCTATTTTACGTGCCAGCCCCGTGCTAATCAAGCACCATTGTGCTCATGGCTACGATTATCATTTCTGATCCTGCAATTTGCACATATCTCCATTTCTGTTTTTCTCCGTCTCCGAGTGTCTTTTTCTTTCCAGTGCCGCCGTTCACTATGCTTGCACCTGTTTGTACCTCAGTGACAACAGGGTCGTACAGCATAAATGAACTAATTTCCAGGATATAGACAACACAGCAATCAAGGAAAGTGGAAAGCAGCGAGTAGCACAGATGGAAGGAACTAATTATTGTTATGAAATAGAGATGACCTCTAACTATCTCCTGGCTGCTGAGATTGTGTGGTGACAAATGTTTGCCAGCGTCTGTGCCGCCAAATGCCATTTTTTACCTCACAATTTTTTTTTTTTTTGGGATCGGGTTTTTGTGGGGTTTAAACAAGCCTTTGTTTTAATTATTGAAACAAAAGATTGTAGTTGTCAAACAAAGCCTAGTGTCACATGGAGAACGACAGCTGCCTGCAGTGGGTAATCAGTGGAGCTTTCTTCAAATTAACAGCATTCAGCTCTGAAGCATGGAGCACACTATGCCAAAAGGGGGGAAAAAAGCGATTCTCAGAGAAAGAAAGTAGATTATTTTGCAATTTGATATTTTTTCAATTCATATTCTATGAACAAATCTAACTTCTACTTTAAATATAACTACCTCGATCGCCTTGAATCTGGAATTGCTCAATATGAAGTGTTACTTTATATGTCATTATACATGCAAATCTTCTTTTGCTACCTTTTAATCACATCTGTAATGAATTCTTTGAATGCTCTTTTAAAACCACGTCCCTACAGCTTTATTCAAAGGCTGCACACACACTAACAGGCAGCGTGTTTGTGCCGTGCAAACCACTGAAGGTAAAAACAGTTTACTTATGTATGTCTAGTTGAACTGTTGAATAGATATGGGTAATATTTAACTATCAGCAAATTAGCACAAAAAAAAAGGTGTTTAATTAACCGAAAATATATATATATGTGTGTATATATATTCATTGATGCACAGCAGTGTTTAGATAGTGCTAGAGGACATTGCTCATCCTTAAAACACAATGCAATCCTACTTTTAAGGCTTTGCACACCAAAGCAACCAGAATCTTCCAGCACATTTATCTAATGTATGCAAATGATCTCGCTGTGATTAATGAAGGCACCATTAATCACTTTAACGATGGTCTTTTTTAACCAGAATAATCATCCACACAAACACACACACAAATGCTCACCCCTCTGCACATTTTTAAACAAATACACAAATGCGCTTACACAAATGCTTGCAAAATAAAGCTAAATAAATCCTCCAAATAAACCAATGCTATGTCTTTTGCTCTGCCAAAAACCAAATTATGCATAATTAGAACCTCATAGCTGGTTGTTAATAACAATGCGTTGAATTAATGTTATCCTACTTTTGTATAATCTGCTCTTGGTGCTCCACCCTGCTTAGTCACTCAACTGAAAATTTCATCTGATAGGCTGCTGAAAGGATTAATCAAAATAGCTAATATGTCAAATGCATTTATGCATTAAATTCAGCTAATTAGTTTCAAACAATTCATGGTCCAGTACCTTTATGCAAACAGCTGATAATATGGGGTCTATGCGGGCAGTGGGAAGCACAGGGCTTTGTGTATAGGCTGATAACACCCTCCACCAATGTGCTTGAACTCCAGAAAGAATTTAAAGCAAATATTAGGATTCAGGGGCGATATTTCACCGCTTCCCCTCAGCCGTCGCATTTGCATAGGCTTGACGGGAACCCCTGGGTAGTCAGCAGCAGCATGGCGGCGTGTTATGAAGGCTTCCGGGAGGCTCCAGGGTGTGGATCTGAGCCAGTTTGAAGGGGAGCCCGAAACAATAAAGAGCCTGCAGCAGATTAGACACCCACGGCTTCGTGTCACTTCTTATGCAGCCAATCTGGGATTTTCCTGCAAGGATTTTTTTTGTTCTTCATTTTTGGCTGAACGCTTACGATTTTCTCATCCTTCTTTCCCCTCAAGTACCTTTTAAGTTGCTTCTGTACGCAAAGTGCAGACTAATGTTGACTATGGCAGAGCATTTTCTTGCATCCCCTACCACTTGATGGGAATTTAACCGACACCATTACCTGACTTGCTGTTAAATGTAGTTTTACTTGTAGTTTCTTTTTTTGGGGGGGAAACAGGTGCGTGTAGATATATTTAATTTAAAAAAAAGAAAACAAATGTTTTACATAATACCCACTCATTCACACATACATGCAGGCATAAACACCTCAAATTCCCCTGATAACAGGCTGACTGGCAGAGGCTAAAGACAGTGTAGGCGGCCGTAATTGAACAAACACAACAATGTAAATATTTGCTAATGCAATCCACTGGGGATAGGGGCAGAATCCCACAATTGATTTGCTCTCTTTTCTATTGCTTTTTTTTCTTTAACACACATATCTCATCCCAACTTTTTTTTTTTTCTTATTTTTTAAGCCAAACTCTAACTTACTTTTTCTTTTTTATTTTTTTTTTTTGTAAAAGATGAATATACATTAGTCCTTCTGCTATCCTCTTACCAGGGGTGACCTGTAGCCCATCTGGGCGGGCGATGACAGGGGATCCCTGGAAAATAGCGGCGCGTGCGTCTCGGGGACGGAGCCCACGCCACTGGCTGCCAGTCCCGAGAGCTGCCCGTACTTCGCCATCATCTTGAGATGCTGCTCACAGAACACACACGCTCATACACGGATACGGGAGGAGAGGGGAGGAGAGGCACAGAGATAAAAAAAAAAAAAAAA